AGGAGAGAGAGAGAGAGAGAGAGAGAGAGAGGGTTTTGCATACCCACCTCTTAACAAAGCTTGATAGGAAGGAATCAGGATTCCCAGACTTGAAAGCTCTCAAGAAATGGAACATATTTCCCATTAGAGGCCACCCCATGTCTCCAGGTGGAAGGAGAAACCGCCTTTCCCCAACTTTCCATTCACAAAACCACCCATTCACCTTCCTCAACAGCTGAAACAGAGCCCCAAAACCGCTCAGCAGAACCAGCGAAACGGCCATGAAAACCTCAACCCCCATCTCTCTCTAGAAAAACCCTAATACCCACAAGAAAGGTTTGTGTTTAAGACAAATGTAGGGTCGGGACTCTTTATAAATGCAGAAGTCCTCCCGTGCGCTGTCTATGAATAGGAACTTCTTTGGCCAATTTTAGGGGGTGGAAGTCGAGAGTAATTTAGAGAGAGAAAGAGAGGGATTATGCCGGCAGGAGTTGAGTGGGTTTGTCGTGTTGGGTGTTGGTTGATTCTCTGCGAGAATATGCAGGGAGATGGACAGACCTTAAATGTAATGCTTGTAATTGCATGGCCATGACACTCACTTCTTGTCTCTCTCCTGTCTAGAGAGAGAAAGTGGGGGGTTTTAGAATAGAGCGCAGCTCTTTGTTTGTATATGCTTGGACCAGGGTTGGGGCCAAAAGATTAGTTGGAGCTTTTACTTTTAAGCTTAGCCTTACATTTGTCTCGGCTCTCAGTGATGAGTTGTTAAGGGTTTCTCTCTCTCTCTCTCTCTCTTTTGTCTTTCTCTCTGGCTCACTTTGACTCTCATCAGCTTTTTTTTTTTATTTTCCTCCTAAAAGAAAATAAAAAGTACAAGTCGCAATGGATCGGTATATATAAATATATATTTATTGGATGCGGTTTCTATATGGTTCCAACCTTAAACAACTGCACCTTATATATATATTATATCTTAGGCGCGGTTTTTATAAGGTTACAATTTTAAACAAGTATATCTTAAATTTTTATTATAACATCTAATTTTGTTATAAACAATTCTTAGCATTATCTTAAAATCTATTTTTATACCTAATTAGAAAATTTTAAATTCTGTAAATAGTTAAAATCAACTAGATCTATAAATATATAAGAATCTTAAAAATAAACGGTCTAGATAATGTGTTGCAAGATGCACTATTTAAATATATAAAAGTTTTCGGAAAGTATAGAATGAAATCATTTATAAGGTAGTCACATTAATCTTGATCATTCGATGTGAAATTGGATTGTTGCAAGTATTCTATTGACGAAGCTCAAATTTCAAATTTTTTTTTTTTTCAAACTTTGACACCTCTAAACTATCAAACATCACATCAAATAGTTATAAAGAATTGTGGACCACCTTGTATCAAAGATTAAAAGTCTCGTTGTTGTATATACTCTCATAAGTTTTATATTTTCCTTCACTTTTTCACTCCTTTCTAAACCCTATTTCTATTTCTCTTCACTCTCTCTTTTCTAAACCCTATTTCTCTTTCCCAACAAAAGTCCTTTTTCTATTCTCTCTTCCCTTGCAAAAGCCCCACTTTCTCACTCTTTTCTAAACCCCTATTTTTCTTTCTCAGCAAAAGTCCTATTTCTATTCTCTCTCTTCCCTTGCAAAAGCCCCACTCTCTCTCTCTAAAATGTGATTGCTATAGCCCAACTCTCTCTCCCCCCTTTATTTCTCTTCCTATGCGAAACCATGTTTCTCTTCCAAGTAGGATTTTTTATCAACAAAAATGACAAGTTTTTATTGGATTTTAGTGCTTTTTTTTTTATGCATCTTGATGTTCGATGGAAGATCAGAAAAATGACAAGTTATAATTTGATTTTCATGCATTCTTTTTTTGCATCTTGATGCCTGATGGAAGATCATCAAATCATTTTTTGCATCTTGATGCTCGATGGAAGATCATCAAATCTTTTTTGCATCTTGATGGAAGATAAGCAAAACTAGCAAGTTTTTGTTTGCATTCAGTGCATTATTTCTGTCGATCTTGATACTAGGTGGAAAATCAGCAAAAGTGGCAAGTTTTTGTTTGATTTTCGTGCTTTTTATTTTTGCATCTTGATGCTCGGCACAAGATAAGAAAAACTGGCAAGTTTTTATTTGATTTTCGTGCATTTATTTTTTTGCATTTTAATGCGGGTTTTTTTTAGAAAGCTTCTCTCCATGAAAGAAGCTTCCTAAAGCATTAACAAAATTTGGGGGATCTTTTACATAATCATATAATAAAAAGGGGATCTGTGCATTTTTGTTCGGGATTCCACTTAAGATTGTGTACTTGATTAGTCACATGCGAAGTAGATGAATACAACTATAAATCGAGTGTGAGAAATAAAACAAACATAAAAATCACGCCACAACAATATACGATTTATGTGGTTCACCCTACATCCACAGCCTCGGCAAGTAGAAATCCATTATAACATCCACAACCTCGACAAGTAGAAATCCACTATTACAATGAAGAGTACATTTTTTTTGTTATAAGAGATAATACCTATATCTAAACATCGGTAAAAGATCATCACCGATATTCCCTTCTAAACTTGTTAGGACAACACCGCTGATTTATATATTCTTTTCCACGACAATACCACTATTGGAATGATAACATCAAGAGTAACCGAGAGACTCTCTCTCTAAAAGTGGAAACTTAACTAGCCCAAAACCCATGAGAATGTCGTCTCTCTCTCTTGGAGATACATTTCCATAACCCCCAAAGGGGTGACCCCAAAAACGATGAGTATTATGCTTTCATTGAGTCTCTTATATATATATATATATATATATATATATATATGAAAAAATGTTCCTAATGCTTATAGGTGAAAATAAGTAGTGATTTCGCCTACCCTCATCACCGTCCAAGTTTCATCGCGCGGTCATGATTGTCCGATAGTGTTTTATTTTTTATTTTTATAAATTAGAATGACCTGAAATTTAAAAAATATATGCCTATTACTGAGACGCATCTAATAAAAATATAAAAAAAATTATCCGTGAAAAATAATTGACCAAAATACCCCTAAAAATATTTTTGGGGGTATTTTAGTAAATTTTTATATGAAAAATACATTTTTTATATTTTTAGAAGATTCTTCTATTTTTATGAACACACGCTCCAAATTTCAGGTCATTCTAATTTATAGAAAAAAAATGAAAAATAAAATACTACCGGACAATCTTGACCGCGCATTGAACTTTGAACGGTGATGGGGGTAAGCGAAATCATTGTTCATTTTAGCCTATAGGCATTGCGTAGTTTTTTCATATATATATATCACTTTCTTGCTTCCCAATAAAATCTATTGTCTTTTTATCATAATACCCTTAATATTTAGAAGAAAATATGAGTATGGTGCTTTGGTTATCACCAAACCCAACAATCTTCACCTTGATAGCAAAATCATCATAATTGCCTTGGCGATCTTCATCAAATAAATTTCTTAATTTCTCCTCATTTGCCTCCGCTGTGGAATTTTCACAAACACTTTGCCTCTATATTTCTCCACCTCAAACCATGCACCCATCTAACTTTCCCATTCATCTTTTTCTTCTACAAGCCTTAGCGTCGTACATATCTTGTGCTTTGATACCAATTGCGAAACTGAGAATCTCAAATTTTGGCATTCCACCCAAAATCGTGCCTAAATGTGAAGTAGATGAATACAACTATAAATTGAGTGCGAGAAATAAAGCAAACATAAAAAGCACACCACCATAACACACGATTTACGTGTTTCATCCCAAAGGGCTACATCCACGACCTCGACAATTAGAAATCCACTATCACAATGAAGATTACAGTTTTGGGTTACAAGAGTTATACATCTCTTTAAACATCGGTAAAAAACCATCATCGATCTTCCTTTCTAATCCGCTCTTCTTACCGACCAACACTGTCGATCTCTATCTTCTGTTCGACCACAATACCGCTACCGAAAAGATAACGTCGAGAGCAATCGAGAGATTTTTTCTCTCTAGAAGTGGAAACCTTACCAACCCAAAACTATAGATACCGCTACTCTCTCGAAGGCTATATATCTCTCTTAGAGACCCATCTCCATCTGGGAGATCAATTTTCATAACCCCAAAAGGGTGCCCCTAAAAAAGATGGGAATTATGTTATTTTTTATCCCTTTTTATAAAGATTGTTTGAGCTTCTTTTTTGCTCCCCAAGAAACTCCTCATCTTTTTTCTATAATACCTTTAATCTTTTAATAAAAACACAAGTATGGTGAGTTTGACTATCACCAAACCTAAAACAGGGTACGGGTCCGGGTATAGGTCCATAAGTGGTATTTTGGGTTAGGGTATGGGTCCAGCTGGACCCGACTCGTTGCCTGCTCAAAGAAAGTTGTTTTATAAATTAGTGGACTCGCTAGCCTGTTGACTCACATACGTTTACTTTTAAGGTGAACCTTTACAACTAAAGATTCGTATCCGATGGATAAAAAACCATTTAAAAAATATATTTAAATTTTATTTTATTTTATTTTAGTTATAATCATTATAGTACAAAAAAGAGTGCATTTTTAATATCTTAAGTTGATAATATCGAAAAATAGGGAGATTGGAGAGGATGTCACACATAGAATTAGAGCTGGATGGATAAAGTGGAGGTGTGCACCCATAATTTTATGTGATTGTCGTATACTAATGAAGCTGAAAGGAAAGTTCTATAGAATAACTGTAATATTAGTTTTGTTCTATAGGGCAGAATATTGGGCTATTAAAAAACTATATATCCATAGAATGAGTATAGCGAAGATGATGATGTTAAGATGGATGAGTGGTAAGACAAGAATGAATAAAATTAGAAATGAATACATTTGAAAAAATTTAGATGTGGTACCAATAAACGTGGTAGAGTTAATTCAAGTGAAAGGCTAAAAAAACAAATGATAAATCCAAAATATCATTATTAGAAGTAGTAAGTTAGAGGACATCCGTTTCCATTTATCGTCACTTTATTTCTAAGGCTTTCCCCACGTTTATATTTCCAAGGGTAAATGCGTAAGTACATGTCTAATGGGAAGGCCACCCTGAAAAAGGAAAATATATATATGGTACGCTAAAGTACAAGCATGGAAGGTCATTCTGAAAAAGGAAAATATATATGGTATGCTAAAGTACCTAACATGTAATGAATTTCTTTTAAAGGAAAAAAAATACAGCAACAAGCGAATGAATTGAATTCCCTGAAATAGAAAGTTATATTGTAGGAAAGTATAATGGGAATTGTATTGAGATCGTTGTGGTAGTACCACTAGAGTCTCATTCACTTATCTAGGTTTCCATTCTCACCGACATATTTGAAACCCCGATCGAGGCCAAGCTGAGCGAGGGTTGGCGCTATAGGGACTGAAGCTCCAATTTTAAAAAGCAACTCTCATTTCAAATTATTCCTTGTGGTATAATCATTGTTATTAATGGAAGTAGTGTTGGAAAAATTGAAAAGGACATGGCCCAAAAGCAACCGGCCTAATCAATAAACCGGCCGGTTCAACAAAGCTTGAGTGGTAAAAAAAAGTGTTTAAAAAATAAAAAATAAAATTTAAGGAATCCAGTTTTGCCAGAGGTATTTTTTAAATTTTTGAAAAAGATGGAAAAATATAAATATAAGTATTAATAGGGTAAACAATTTCCAGTATTTA